ACGCGATCGCGCTCATGAGCCTTGAGTTTGGTAGACGTCGTGCCTGGGGCCTCCTCGGAATGTCGATCTCCTTCTTCTCGATGCTGCGCAGGTTGTTGATCGCGTTCAGCAAGCCCCGCTTGGTAGTCGCGTTGGTGTCGGGCCCCTTCGCGGAAGCCCCCTTTGAGATAGGCGTCGGCATAGGCTTTGTATTCGCCTTCGGCTTCGGGCCGAACTCGGGCCCAGCCGGCTGCGTCGTCTTCCAGTCTTCGGGCTGCAGCTTGATGGCTGGATGCCCGGCGCTGCTTGTCACGAGCGCCTGGGTCTGGCCCCCGATGCGGATGGCCCCCGTCCAGAGGGAGATGTCGCTCATGGGCGGCTGGGCGAAGCCCCTGCCGATGAGCAGGCCGAGCGCGGGGCGGTTGGCCACGCTGAGAACGAATTCTACCAGTCTGGCCACCGACGACGATCGGCGCCGTCACCCTAAGCTTGTTGGGCAAGGTGCTTCCGTTCCCGAAGCCGCAGAGTTCGTTCCCGCTCTCCTCGAGGATCTGGTCGGACAAACCCATCTTTGCAAGTGGGCCCTTGTAGTTGTCGCGCCAGAGCTGGCCGGCCACGCAGAATAGGCGGGCAGCGCCCGCCACGCCGAGGCCCTCGTCAGCGACGGGCTTGCCTGAGTCGGTGTCGTTGGCGCTCGGTGGGCCCGACGCGACCCGCTCGGGCGCGAGGCTCCCCAGCTCGCGCGGCGGCGCAACTGGCCCTTCAGGGCGTTGGGGCGTCTCGCCGTCGTCGCCGACCTCCGCGATCTGAACCGAGCGGGCCTGGCGACCTCTGCCGCCTCGCCCCGCGGCCTTCGGCTCGGGGGCGTACTTGCGGGCCCCGGGGGTCGGGCAGCCGCCGTCGCCCGCGCAGTGGCCAGGCTGGGCGCGGCCCCAGCAGATGGAGCTCTTCTCGCGCTGGTCGACGCCCCTCTGGAGCTCGCCGCGCAGGAAACCACGCTTCGGCGCGGTTCCGCGCCCGCCACGGCCGCCGCCCCTGCCCGAGATGGCATCGCGAGCAACTCGGATCGTGGCCATGGCCTCGGGGACGTTGGCGAGCTCCGCCGCAGCCGCCTCCAATTCGGCGGCGCCGTCGTTGTCGAACCTCGGAGACGTCCACGCCTGATGCCCCGAGCTCCGCGCCGAAGGCCTCGAGCTCGTGGCGCGCCAGGTCCTGCGCGCCCTCCCTCTCCTCATCTTCGCCCTCATTGTGGCGCGTCATCTTCCTCCTCGGGCTCGCCCACCGCGCCGGTGGAGCGCCCTCCTCGATGACGTGGTTTCCCTGGCCAGTTGGAGGAGCGGGGCCGCTGCCAGTTGCCGGGCTTCGGAGGTGGGGGATGGTTTCGCCCCTGGACCTGGGTGTCTGGGAACATGCGGACCAAGAGATTCTTGATCGTCGCGAAGCTGTAGTTCTCGTCGGGCAGGTTGCCGATGATCCTCTCGCGCCGCTCGGCGCTGAGCCCTGCCTTGAGCGGGGGGAACCGCCCAGCCACGTCGTCAAGCAGTGTAAAGTCGACGTCGTTCTCGCGCAGCTGTCGCAGCCCGAGGTCGAACCTGGCGAGCCAGTCGGTCAGTCGTTCGTCGCGGCGGCGATGATGTTGAGTACTCTCGAACAACTTCTCGAGTGTCTCGCCCTTCTGCGTCGGTTTCTGCTGACCGAGCGAAGCCTCGAGGTGGGTCAACACATGGTTGGTCCCTCGCACGTTGCGGCCCTTCCTCCGCCAGGCGGCGTCCTGGATCGCATCGTTGCCAGATGGGTGGATCAGATTCTCGTCCACGTTGAGCGCCGCGGCGCGCGCGGTGCCCGTCATCTTCAGAACTATGGTTGATGCCAAACGCCCGGGAACCTCCAGGTTCTCGCTGAGCTTCCAGAGCTGAACCTCCTGCTTGTAGTCACGCCATTTGGATGGATCACCATTCCAGCTGGGAACAACAGACCGTTCACCGCGTTGATCTTGATCGGCCATCGAACTGCCGATTAGAATGAAGCTGCTGTCGTTGCTGGGGCAGCTGCTAGGCGTCGCGGTTGTTGGGAAATCGGGGTCCTGGCTAACGTCGCTGACGTTGTCGCTGGCGTCGCTGACGCTGGCGTGGCCGAAGATATCGGTGGCGTCGCAGACGTTGGGGTCGGGGAAGTAGTCGGCGTCGCAGACGCTGGAGTTGTAGAAGTAGTCGGCGTCGCAGACGCTGGAGTTGTGGAAGTGGGTGGCGTCGCAAACGCTGGAGAGGTGGAAGTTGGCGTCGCAGACGCTGGAGAGGTGGAAGTTGGCGTCGCAGACGCTGGGGGTTGAGCAATGGTCGACGTCGCTGATGTCGGTGTTACCGTCGCGGACGCTGGCGCGCGTGCTGCGCAGCAGCTGGGTGGCGCAGATCACCGGGAAGACGCTGGTCTTCGATTCCAATCTGGATGATAACGTCGCGGACGTCGTCGTTGTGGGCGGCCCCGCGGGCCAAGGATAGCGAGCCAAGCTCCAAGCTACCACTGTGATGTGGAAGATCGCTGATATATGATATATCTCTCGCTCGCTGAGCGCGCTCGCAACTCAATTGACCAAGGGCGCTGAAACTTAATAGGGCCAAATGGGCAGCGGTGGAGGGACAGCTGAGCAGCAATAGCAAGCACGGGGGAAGAGAAGCAGAGAGAGTGACCGAAGGTCTCCGCGGGGACCCTGTGAGACCTCAGCGAGTCTTCTAGAATCACATCTGGTTCCAATAATCGACACACTTATGCAGATACCCGAAGAAGCTATGGAACCCCTGAGACATCGGGTTTTAGTCATTCCTTGTAAAGCCAACTCCCCATTTGCCCGTGTAGTGGGTCGAGTAGCCAGCCACCTTCATCTTCGAGTCGAGGAGGTCATGCCGGCCGGGATGCCCCTCCCGAGCTGAGCAGGTTCGAACAGATGAAGGCCATCGGATTGGAATGATTGACGTTTACGTGCACGTCCAGCCGGCCGCTGAGAGGGCCAAGCGCGACGGCCCGCACCAGCTGTAACCATACATCTTGTTGAGCTTCACGCTCTCGGGCTGGAGGGCTTTCATGGTGGGGTTGCACGAATCCGAAATCGGCGGTACCGGTGCCTCCGAACTCGGCGTCGGACCAGCCCAGGTCGCACATACGATGTGCGGCTGGGTGCCGCGAGAGCCCGACGACGTCGAAGCCCCGCGAGGAGCGGAGCCAGGACGAAACGTGGCCAGCAACGAGGAACGTCGTCCACGAGGCCTCTTCGTGGGAGGGCTGCCGCTGCACGTCGTGTCCAGCCCGGGCCTGCACCCCACAGTTCGGCGGCTGCCAGCAAGGCCGCGGACAGCCCCGTGCGCGCCACTCGGGGAGCCCCGGGAGAAGGCATCCAGCGCGCCCTCTTCTCGGCGGCAAGCGAGGGGGGGGAAGTGAGAAGGAGAAGGCCTTCTCAGAAGGCGGCGGGACTTCTCAGAAGCCCTCGGGCCTTCCAAGAGGTGTTTTGCGTCTGCGGGGAAGGCTTAAAACAACTTCTCAGAAGGCCAGGGGACTTCCGAGCCTCCTGTTTTCGCGCGCACGAGCCGGATGGCCTGAGCCAGAGCGGTCGCTTGCTCAAGAAGCTTGAGCCAAGGTCACCAGAAACGGCTTGAGCCCAAATGGCTACGGCATATAATATAATCATCTCGTAGTACATCATTTCCCGAGCGGTATGGCCAGAAAGCGTCCGCCACGGAGCTTATACCATGAGACTTCTCGGGGTGCACGTCGCCCCTGGGATCGGCGAGGCAGACCTAGTCTTGGCACGACCAAAAACACGATCAAGAAAATGGTCAAACAAACAACCTGGACCGACTTCCCGGAAGTTTATTTAAACAAACATGGGCCAATGTATGTCTTTAACGCTGGTGGGGCGAACGTGCCCAAGAAACTGAGCCAGTTTTCCGGCAAGTCGGTTAAGAAATGCTGGCCCGGCTTTTCGGGAGGATGTTTCTTAGTCAGATGATCGGCTGCAGTATTAGTATGCTGGGGTGACGCCGAACGAAGGATCCAACAAAGAAGCCACGACAACCCTTCTTCCGACGCCCTCGGCGCCTCGAGGCCACTTTCCGGTCGGCCCACCAGGCCGTCAGAGAGCTGCTCGGGGGGAGAAGCCAGCCCCACGGCCAGGGTAAGACGAACTCGGGCCGAGGCCCCCAAAAAACCTCAAGATGCCCCAAAGAGGCCTCAAAAAGACCCAAAAGGGATCCCGGCCCCAAGACGCTTCAAAACTGCCTCCAAGAGGCTTAGCCACGCCCCCAAATACTTCCCAAGACGCTCACAAGAGTCCCCAGATAGCGCCCAAGAAGCCCGCCACGCCTCAACCTTGGACTCCCGCCTCGTCTGGGGATCGGCGGAATGGCGTAGACATCTTGGATAAGACAAAACCGGGTCGAGGACAGAATCGGCTGAGGACACATCGAGAATCTCTGAGATCTGGTGGCTCTGGAGGATGTCTCGGACGCCGCGGCCTTCTCACAGCGTTCCGGAGCGCTTCGAGAGCGTTCTAAAACGCTCAAGAACGGATTTATCCTCGTCCTAGCCCCGTCCGACTGGGCCATGGGCCGACGTCACAACAAAAATGCGTCGGAGGAGAGGAATAGGGCGATTCCACCCTTGCTTCGAGTAGCTAAGAAAACTTAGCTAAGAAAACTTGCTTCAGCCTGGGCGTTTTCTTGAATAGCAATCCAGGTCCAGATGTGCGAGAACTGTACGAGCAGGAATACTCCAAGACAAACGCTCAGACCCCAGTCAAGATTCTTGACTCTCTGAAGAGAAATCGGGAGCCTGTGACAATTGATGCTCTTCTTCTACGGATGCGTGTGGGTGTACAGCGCGACTGGATGAGAAAGATGCGCGGTGAGGATGAAAAGCCTCTGGGCGCAAGACTCGACGCCGAAGTCGGAAGCCCACGGCCCATATGGCTGAGGGCTAAAGGCTAGAATGAGCCAAGAGGCGAGGATGCAAGGGTACCTTTGGAGAGTTACCGATGCTTCTAATGCAATTTTACCTGTAGAGACCTCCGAAACGGGATCCGAGTAGATGGGGCCGGAGGATCGGGCTTCATCGCCGATGCATCGTCGATGCATTGGTGAAGTCGGGGTGGAGAATATCGGACTCTAAATCGAGCCGCGTCGCCGATGCATCGGCGATGCGGCGCGGTCCTCAGACCCCACCTGCTCCCGCCTCATGTCGGAGGCCTGAAGCGTTGAAGGAGGGTGGTGCATGGCAGAGGGAAAATCGATAATCCTCAGAACGTGTGTTGGCGCCGACGTGTGCGTGTCCACCGAAGCCCTTCAATACGACGCAGGCGGCGCAATTAGGGCAGACGCAGGCTGCGTGCTACTGGCGGAGCTGAACGGGGCAACAACTACACACACATACACTGGGCCAACACACGTCCTCAGAATCATCCCACGGGGCGGTGCAGGAGGGAGTGAAGGGCTAGGGGGTAAGGAGGAGCAGCAGGACAGCAAGCAGCAAGAAGGAGAAGGGACAGGAGGAGGAGAGGGCCCAGGGAGCATCCGAAAAACGGCGGTGGCACTCTGCTGTCACGAGTAAGGTGGCGTCCCTTGTGATGGTGGGCTGGCCACCCTTAGATAGGACGGCACTGGTGGAAATGCCACTGCAATTCGCGACGCTGCTGGCGTCCGAGGCGCTCAGGCCTGGTAATGGGGAAACCACAAGGTACCGATACTGCCACTCCCCAGAACTCTCCGAATCCAGCGGTGGCGACGACGGAGGCCCAAAAAGGGGGAAACGAGGGGAGGGTAGAAGTACGGGTACCTCTTCCTCCTCTAAGGTCATCTCAAGAAGGGGGGCACGTCGAAGGCCTGCTCGAGGGAGTGGGCGAAGACGCAGCAGGAGAATTCGTACCGTGATCCCTCGTGTCTGCCATTGGCGCCCCTGCTCTGTGTGAGAGCTGGCCGTTGGTTGGTCGCTCAAGCTGTGCATGGTATCGCTCTCGCCACGGTATACCAGCAGATCTGCAGCGTCCTCACGCTCGCGCTGGTGCTCTTCGCTTTCTTGCAGCTCTGCTCAGAGCCGAAATGTCCGAAGCCCAGTCTGGATGAGCAAATTCACTGCATACACACTGATGATATTCCCTGTAGCAACGGCGTCTGAGCGTGCGCATCAAGAGTGCCGGTTGTACCAACCTCTTGAACACCATAAAGGTTATCGCGCCGCTTTGGTTGAATATTCTCATCAAGCTTGTCCACACTGCAAGGTCAGCAGACCTGAACCCTAGCCCTTGACCATCAGAAGCATCAGAGGTCCCCGGCGCCTATACTCCACCAGATGTCGAGCATGCCGGGGGTAAATCTGGATGGAGTGGCGAGATGGTGCTCGACGGGCTGTTCATCAGCAGCCTTATGTGCTTCAACAGCATTGGCTACAATCAGGTTACCTGTTCATAAGCTTCGTATTCGTTACGCAGGTTCTCTTCATCTTGTTGATTGCGATCTTCCGGCTCAGGCTGAGAAATCGAACCCCCAGGAGGAGGATGCAGCAGCGGCAGCAGCAGCAGCTAACACAGCAGCGGCAGCTTCCTTCAACAGCATCGCGCCAACCTACAGCAACAGCATCACCAGCATGATCGGCATCACAGCACCATCATTCAGCTTCGGCATCATCGCGGAAGAGTCCCTCAGCAGCACCATCATCAACATGATTGGCATCATGTACCGCATCATCCTCTTCGGCCTTGCGTGCTTGTGGCAGCTGTCGCACCATGCCTGGAACAAACTCATGCACGCGTTGCACGGCAACGGGCCCCAGGGGAAGGGCAAGGGCAAAGGCCGTGGCAAAGGTTTTGACGAGCCCAAAGAACAGACATATGGGGAACAAATTCGGGACGCCCTCCCGGAGGCAGCAAGGCTCCGAATGCAGACAAGTTTGATCCCCGACGAGTGGGAGCAGCCAGTGGTGCCGTGGCAGATGTTGGGGCCGCAGGGTGGGATCGCCATCGTCCCCAAGGACGGCCTGCCCCAGGTGCTCCGGAACGTGGCCTACACGGCCAAGCCGACGGGAGCCCTTTTGACACAGGACCCTGACGAGCTGGGACTACGGGGGTTACCCTCGGACGCAGGTGCGCTGCAGGGTCCAGGTCGTCACCGAAGGCGGCGGTACGAGTGAGGTATCCGTGGAACGCTGGCTGGTGCAGCTAGGCTTCGGGGAGCACGTGCGCCTGAAGACAGTGGGCGTCGAGCTGCAGATCCCCCAGCACATGGTCCAGGCCACTGCTAAGTTCTCGGTTCGGCGAGGCTGGCCCGAGGGACCGATCCCGGCCGCCTTCCTGATGGATTTTGTGGGAAAGTTCACTGATCGTGAGGCCGTTGAAGGTGTCCAGTCCCGACAGGATGGCACTGTAGTCTTTCAGGTCCACAAGTTACTGTTGGATACGCTGCTCCATGCAAGTGGGCAGGAGGGAGTGTTCATTAAGGCCAAGTCTGAAGTGCCCTTGGAGTTGCTCTGGCTGGAAGAAGGCACGCCCTTGTCTCGAGCTGTGGCCCTGGCGTCCCAGAGTGGGCCTATTGGTGTGGCAGAGAAAGGCAAGACCGGGAAGCTGGCGCTGCGGTTTGCGGACGAGACCAAGATGGCAGAGTTTGCTCGCTTGAACAGCATCCCGTTCACGCCAGGCCTGGGCAGGTGGAAACTTACGGGCCTTCCGACGAGCACAGGCACGACGGGTCTCTTTGAGCTGCTCACAGCCATTCAGTGGGACGTGGTCGAGGTGGTGTACCTTGACGACAAACAGGCCGTGTTTCTCGCCAGCCCCACTTTGTATACGGGAGCCAACCGCGGACGATTAAGTTCAAGGCGCTCAATGCGGCGGCCCGCAAGCTGAGCGCGGAAGCGGCAAGGGGGGCAGCAGCGTCGAGCGGCGCCGAGCCTTCCACCCCGCCCACGCGGGCTCAGAGGCAGGCGGCCCTTCAGGCAAAACTCCTGTGCAAGGGGCAGGGCAAGCAGGCTGCGGCCCCTGCCGCCGCTGCTGCCAGGCGCCCGGCGGAGAGCAAGACGGGGCAAACGCCTGAGCGCAAAATCCCGAAGTCTGGGGCGGCAGGCCTGGACACGGAGGATGATAACCTTTGACTAGTCGCCGGCTGGAGGGCGACGTGCATGATTACTTCGAATTCGTCATTTCTCCCCGAGTGGCTGGCTGAGCTGCTCTTCTTCGTCCGGCTATGCCGTCGACCACCGCTACACCAGTCAAGAGCACCTGGTCTTGCCTCACTTCGACACCACTTGCAATGGAATTCATTATTGTACATATTCACGACGGAGGAGGAAGACGACGAGGAGAGGGAGGAGTACGACGACGGCGTCCTGGATGGTACTGTGTCAACTATTACATCAGTGGATTGGGATGGTGCGCCGACTACTGGTAGGACGGCATCTGGGAGTTTACACGGTGAGATTGTGCAGTGGACGGCGACACGGTTGGCCATACGGATTATGCATACAAGTTCTGCGTGCATACGGATTGTGGCGATATGGATGGCCATACGGAACTCATTATTGTACATATTCACGACGGAGGAGGACGACCACGACGAGAGGGAGGAGCACGACAACGGCGTCCTGGATGGTTCTGTGTCAGCTACTACGTCAGTGGATTGGGATGGTGTGCCGAGTACTGTTGGGACGGTATCTGGGAGTCTACACGGTGAGATTATGCAGTGGACGGCGACACGGATTCTGCGTGCATACAGAGTGGCCCTATGCTGGACGGCGTATTGGGGAGGCTAACAGGCCGGGCCCGCCTCCCAGGAATCCACCAGATTTGTTCACGCTGGATCTTTACAATCCCAATGGGGTACACAAGGATGGCATTTTGGATAATATACTGAGTCGCTCTGCGGATGTGGTTGTGCTGTCGGCTACACATGCCACTTCTTACACACAGACATCGTTCAAAGGCAAATCTGGTACACATGAACTTCTTTGGGGTGCGCCAGTCCCTCCGCGATCCTTCTAGGGCGTTAATCTGCTGAAGGGCTGCCACCCCAACAAGTCGAGTTTGTTTCTGGGGCCTCCAATTTTGTTGCGGAAGAGGAGGCCCGCAGAGATGGCTAGCATGCCGCCACTTCCCTCGCTCCCTCTGACCTCTGGGGTTGGGAGTGGGTCGGACGTGGGGGTGGGGTGGTCGGGGCAGGAGCATCTCTCGCCTCCTGTGTCCCAGGCTGTCTCGGCCTTGTGGGAGGACTTTCAAGGCCTCCCCTTTGCCAGCGACTCGGATGACGACGACGACCTTTCCCGCGATCTGCGGAGCTGGGTCGAATAGCGTCTCCGTCGCTGGCCGCCAGGGTTTTTAAACAGGCTAGTACGCGTGCGGCTGGTCTTTGTCAGTGCAAAAAAAAATCCGAACACAGGGACGACTCATGGCGGTACAGATATTTGTTGGCACTGGAAGGAGATCCCTCATCATCTACGCTGTATACGGCCACTCCGGCGCCAGATGGGAGCCGCAGAAGAAGAAGCAAACGCTGGACCTCCTGGCGGCTGTCGCGAAGGACGCGGTGATGCGAGGGGACGTTGCTGCACTCATAGCTGGGGATATCAATCTTGAGCTCGCAGATATACCTGACTATGTCCACAAGATGACCCAGGCGGGATGGCATGATGCAGCGAAGTGGGGGCTTGGAGGCCTGGACGAGACGCCTACGTGCCTTAAGGGCAAACGCGGATCTCGGATAGATTGGGCTCTCGCCAACAAGACCTGTTCGACCATGTTGCGGGGCTACTCGGTGCAGGACGGCCTCCGGGAGCGCGAGCACCAGTTCGTCCGCCTCACGCTGTCGCTGCCTGTGGCCGCGCAGGTATACTACCAGCCCAAGAGCATGGGTCCGAAGGGGGAGTACGGCGCTCCTGGGCCAGACCATGTGCCTCCAGAGCTGGACAGTGATCCTGCTATACCGCTCTTGCTGCAGCAGGGCAAGGTCGATGCAGCCATGGCTAGATGGTGCCGGCGCGCAAAGGGCCGACTTCGTACTATACCGCGCCTAGACGGCAGCTGTGCGCCAGGCGACGGTCGTGGGAAGGTGCGGTTTAGGAAGCTACGTGCACACCCGCCGGAGACGCGATCGGTTGGGACGCACGGCTCCGCTGCAACCTCCACCGGCCGCCAGTTGGCCAAAGCCATCCAGAGGTGCAACGAGCTCATGCGCATGGACTCCTTTGGGACAAGGGCGGACCGCACCTGGGAGAACCTGCTGCA